AACTTGTGGACGTCGCTCCCTGAACGTGTCTGCCGGCCTTGTCCACCCCTTCACGGTCCCTGAACGCCTCGTTCAGCAGACCAGCGCCGGCCGTCGCAGTCAGACACAGTAAAGAGTCGCCGAGTGCAGCAGGGCCTCGGCGCTGTGTGATTCTTTTTTTCCCTTCTTGTTTGTGTTGGACAGGCTCTTTTAACGGCAGCTATTAATTTTGCATGTGAGTTTTATTATAATCATGTGTCGCTCTCGGGCTCGGATTCGTGCGTCGCTGCCGGCTTTACGGCCATACCGCTGGAAACCGCACAGTGTGAAGAAAAACACGAGGCCGAGAGCTTCCCAGGGATCCTGTGCAGCGGCCGGCGCAGGTTTTCTCAGGGTCTCTGAAGCTTCACTCGCTTTGAAATGTGTCAAACAAATGTTGTTTTTGGGGGTTCTCTGACGGGGCAGAGCAATGCACGTACACAGGATGTTTTATAGGCTTCAGTAGAAAGAAAAAGCAGCCAAATGTTTGTTCCTTAACATGCAGCTGATTCTTTAGATAAGCCTCAGCAGACTACAGTATGTGGAAGCTGTGTGTGGCTGATGAGGTAAATCGGTCCTAAACCTTCTTGTGCTGCTCTTAGAGGTGTCGTCGCTCTGAGCTCCACACAGTGTGGCTTTTTGTTTCTTCACTGTGACTCATTTTTCTCTGCAACATAAAGTCCTGCAGCTCCGTGGCAGCAGAACAACATGAAGAAGGACTCAGAACGGGTCTCTGAATGACACAAATCACTACAAAATGCAATGTCTGTGATGGTTTATTGTGGATCATTTTAAAGAAAAGCTGAAATCGACAACACTGGAAAAAAAAAATAAAAAATTACCGTTTGAATTTTTAATTTGTTTCTGAACTTGTCCCGTCTGCTCGGTGTAAACGCATCGACGGCTTTAAAACTGTCATTTGTAGATTTTTCTACGCAATCTGATTAATGCAAAGAGTCCATTTTTGCAATTTTTGAAAAATACGACTTGTAGAAAAAATAAATTTGTAGAAATATCACAATTTTAGGCTTCGATTTTGTCAAGTTTCACAGATGAGTAGTAAAAAAACATCCAAGTCTTTCTGTTTTTACGGTTTCTCGGTTTGATGATCGGTGCGATTTTGGATATAATTAGGTTTTTTAGGATGACTTTTATGGCTTTAGAACCCACCAGAGGCTTGAAGGAGCGTCAGTTAGCGACGCCACTCTGTCGGCTTTCCATGAAATCTGAAGCTAAACTTAAAGGCTGTTTACCGTAATGTCTGGACTATAAGCTGCTGCTTTTTTCACACATGTTGAACACTGCAGCTTAAACAACGATGCGGCTAATTTATGGATTTTTACGAATTTGCCTCGAGAGCGACGACGACAGAGAGACTGAGGAAGTGATGAAGTGATTCTGAGGCTGAAGAAGACGACTTTAGTGGTTTTAGTGCAGGAGGAAGATGAAGATAGCCATCAGTGACTTTTCCTGGTAGCTGCTGGAGTTTTATTTCCTTAACCAGCCGTGTTACAGGAACTGTTTGGGAAAAAGACATTTACATATTTGTGTATGTTACCGATACGTATTTAATTAAAGGTTAAAAAGTCTTTCTGTGTAAATGTCTCATGTTCCAACGTGGACACCTGCAGCTTGCGCCTGGTTTCCTGTTTAAAGTCAGTGAATGCAGCTTCCATTCAGGTGCCTCAATAGTCCAGAATTTACGGTAATCTGTACACGCAGAGCAACGCTAAGAAATAACCAGAAGACTTCCTGGTCTCCTGCTGCATCACGTAGCGTTACGAAACCCAAGCCTCGGGTCTGATGACGTCACGCCGCCTATCGGGATGCTCTCCGTCCTTTTCTGTCGCGTCGCTGGTCGTTATGTCACACCGCCGCGTCCTTCCCCGTCACGTCTTGTCGCTTCGCCTCATGTCAGAAACGATGGAGTTCGTGTGCTGCTTCATCGCCTGTCGAGTGAAGCTGTTTGCTTCCATCGTCGTGTCGGTGAAGGAGGTGGTTCTATGTCTGCACTCGTGAACACCTTAATGAAGACACGGTCCACTTTCATATGTGTTTAGATGCACGTGAAAAATATCGTTCTGTTGTTAAAGTAGTGACCCCGGTGGCACATAGTGACGACTAAAGCAGGACAATGAGCAGCTGAGTTTCCTTACTTAGATCATAGAAAACCTCAAATAATTAAGAGTAAAGGCGATAGAATCACTGCTTCGTTTTCCTGCTTTAGTTTATCGCAGAGCGCCTGAAACACCTCCTCGTCTTTCGCTCTGACCTGTTGTGTCGTCCTGTGTGTGCAAACAGAGGATAATAAACGGGTCTGTATTTAGTCTGTGGTGTTGTCCTGTGTAAATAACAGAAACGTGTTGGCTGTGGAGGGAACGAACAAAGACTGTGCACTGTCAACAGCAGCAAACCCAGGAAGACGATACGCTTGATGTCGGGTCTGGAGGCCGGCCGTGGGAGGGCCCCGGAGCGCCGTTTCAATTTAGGATTGTTGGTTTTTGTTGTCATCGTGGTGAAAACATGTTCACGCCCTGGTAAAGATCACAGTCACGGCTGTTTATGAAATATTTCTGTATTAAAATGTGGCGTAACTTTGCCTCTTGAAGCCCAAAACTCTGGTTCGAAAGCCTTGTTGTCTTTAAAAAAAATGTATCTGAGGCAGAAGCTGTAAAACCAGAAAGAATCACGCTGTTCTGTCGGGAAATACAGCAAAATAAAAATCTTGACATTTCACTAAATTCCAAAAATAAACCGTCTGCAGTCGGGAGATTGTGTTAAAACTAAACTAAAACAATAAATTCTGTGCTGCTGAGCTCCACCGCTAATGCAGTTCTATGAAAAACTAAATATGTTTCAAGTTTTTGACACGATGGTGGAGCGATGAGTGGGGCTTGTCGGTTGAACTGCAGCAGTGCAGTCGTCTACAAACATAGAAATAATATCAACACCTGCCAGCATTTGGAAAAATGTTGTAGTTTGATCCCAGATTTTTATGGAAATGACACGATGCCATTTATTCAAGCCAGAAACTGTCAAATCAGAAAGAATTATGCAACATGTCTGACTTAAAAATAACCACAAATACAGTTTATATGAACGAGAGCTTGTTAAAAAAAAAACAACCGAGCCGCCGTGACTGACTCTGTGACCAACAGTAAAAAAAATAAAATCAGAGTTATTAGTGTCCACAGAGAGATAACAAGA